ACTGATGGACACTTCAGTTGTTTCCATGTATGTCCTGTTGTGAATAAAGCAGCAATGAACATAGGTGTGCATATGTACGTTCCTGTCATTATTTTTATGTCTCTGGCGCCCTGGTGGTAGTTTGACTCCACCAGCCATTACTTGGAAACCCTATGGGGCAGTTCTACTCTGTCCTATAGAGTCCCTGTGAGTTGGAATCAACTCAACGGCAAAGGATTTTTTTTGTTTGTTTTTGGGAGGGCATATACCTAGGAGTGGGATTACTGGATCATAAGGTAGTTCCATTTCTAGATTTTTGAGAAAGTGCCTTACCATTTTTCATAATGGTTGTACCAATTCACACTCCCACCAGCAATGGATAAAGGTTCCAATCTCCTCACGTCCTTACCAACTTTGTAATCTGTTGATTTTTTTTTTTTTAAATCGGTGTCATTTTAGCCAGTGTAAGGTGGTTTCTCACTGTAGTTTTGATTTGCATCTCTCTGATGGCTAATAATCCTGAGCATCTTTTCATAGGTTTGTTGGGGTTGCTTGGATGTCCTCTTTGGTTAAGATTCTGTTTGTAATTGGGTTACTTATCTTTTTGTTGTCGAGCTGTTGCAATTTGCTATAGATTTTAGAGATTGGACCCTTATTGGATAAGTCATTATAAAAGATTTTTTCCCAGTATGTAGATTATGTATTTATTCTTTTAATAAAGTCTTTATTTTTTTTATATTTTATTGTATTTCAGGTGAAGGCTTACAGAACAAGTAGTTTCTCATGAAACAGAAGTACACATGTTGTTTTATGACATTGGTTAACAACCCCACAACATATTAACCCTCTAACTTCTCAACCTTTTTTTTTGGTGAAAATACACATAGCCAAAGATACACCGTTTCAAAAATTTCTACATATACAGTTCAGTGACATTGACTACGCTCTTCCAATTGTGCTGTTATTCGCACTTAAGATGAAGGCTTACAGAACAAAATAGTTTCTCATTTAACAGTTACTACAAATGTTGCCCTATGACAATGGTTAACAATCTCACAACACATCAAAAATATCCTTACTCAACCTTGGGTTCCCTATCACCAGCTTTCCTGTCCCCTTCTGCCTTCTGGACCGTGTCCCTGGACTGCCGTGCCTCATTAGTCCCATTTGGTTTTATGGGGCTGTCCACTCCCCGGCTGAACGGTGAACCTCGGAAGTGAGTTCACCACTGAGCTAAAAGGATGTCTGGCGACCATACTCTCGGGGTTTCTCCAGTCTCCTTTAGGCCAGTAAATCTGGTCTTTTTTTTGTGAGTTAGAATTATGCTCTACATCCTTCTCCAGCTCTGTCCAGGACCCTCTATTGTGATCCCTGTCAGACAAGTAAGTGGTGGTAGCCGGGCGCCATTTAGCTGTACTGGACTCAGTCCGGTGGAGGCCTTGGTAGCTGTGGTCCATTAGTCCTTTGGACTAATCTTTTTTTTTTGTCTTTTGTTTTCTTCATTCTCCCTTGCTCCCGAAGGGATGAGACCAGTGGAGTGTCTTAGATGGCGGCTCACAGGCTTTTAAGACCCCAGATGCCACTCACCAAAGTAGGATGCAGAACATTTTATTAATAAGCTTTGTTATGCCAATGGACCTAGATGTCCCCTGAAAACATAGTCCCCAGATCACTACTCCTGCTACTCTGTCCCTCAAAGTGTTTGATTGTATTCAGGAAACTTCTCAGCTTTTGTTTAGTCCAGTTGTGCTGACTTCCCCTGTAGTGTGTGCTGTCCTTCCCTGCACCTAAGATAACAAAGAATATATTTTGGCACACAACTTTGCATATTTACTTGGGTAAAAAATAGGGGAAAAATTGAAATAAATAATTTTAGTGTTAACGTGTGTGATAATTTAATATTTGGATTTAATTCCAAGAAGTTTTTTTAAATTTACAGCCATACTAAAAACATGAGAGTCTTCACAATATCTTACACACTCAGTGACACTGGTTCCTGACGGTAATATTTTATTTTCCCAATTGGATATAAAATATGATACTTTATTTGACTGTTACCTGTTTTTTAATCTTGTATTCTTGTAGTTACTTAATTTTAAATGAGGTTGAACATATTTTAATGTTAGTTTACATATTGGTTTGTAAGAATTTTTTCCATAAGTAAATTAACCCTTGCCAGGTCCTGACAAATGTTTTAATAGTTTGATATTTATTTTCTCATATGTATAATATATATTGGTCTATATAATTTTATATATAATGTTGATCCTCCCTTTATAAACTCTGGTTTCCTAACTTCATTTAGAAGGCACATCTTATTCAAAATTTTTTTTAAAGAACAGTTTTTCTTTAACTTTATAGTTTCATTTTTATGTGTATACAATTGATATAGCTAGAAAGTATTTAAAATTTTTGTATTTTGGTTAAGAAATTAGTTATAGACAAGGCTTTATAGTTTTCAAATGACTACTAGATAATCTATATTTGCCCATATGTTAAAATATACCACTAACTTTTCATTAAAATTATTCACTATTTTTCTATGTATTTAGTATTATTTCTGTATTTGTTATTCTATTGTGTTTAGTTGTTTGTATAGTCTTTGTTCACAGTCTTTATTGTATAAAATAATGTTTCTTCATATTGTGATTTATTAACTTTAAGAGCTAATCCAAAGCATTACTTGAAATATAATTTTTTTAAATTTCCTATATCTCTGATTTTTAATATTTCCTAAGATGCTATGAAAATTTTATTTGGCTGAAAAACGTTATCATTTGTTTAATCACAGTGAGCCTATAGATATGTTTTAGGAGGACAGATAGAGTTAAATAGAGTTAGAAATGTGTTTCCATTTCTAAAGTGTATGGTATTGTTACACCTCCATAGCAGAGCCTTAATGTTTTCTACATATGTTTATACAGGTTTCACCTATTTTATCTTTTCGTTATAGTTGCTGCATTTGTGAATAGTATTTATATTCTATCTCCTAATTGTATTTTTGAATGTAAAGGAAAGGCTTATTTTTAGAACTGGCTACTTGTTGAATGTTTGTAATTAAAAAAAATTATTAGCAAAAATCTTGGGTCATATACATGTGTAGTAATTTTAAAGTAAATATGAACATTAAATTCTTCTATCGTATATGAACATCTTCATTATTTTCTTATTTCATTGACTAATACATAAAGAACACTAATAAATTTTCATGATATAACTAGCATTTCTGACATTTTCCATACTTTAATGTGAATTATGACAGCATTCTGTAGAAGTTGATCTTTATTAGCAAAATTATCATTGCTGTTTTAAACTCCATCTTTTCCATTGTGATTTGGAATGGAACAAAAATTATTTCCTTAATTAGATTCTAGTTGCTGATTCTACTCAGCTCACAGAGTAAAGTGGCATAAGTTATTGACTGCATGTTTCAACTCAGCTTTATTTACGATGTAGCTTGTGGAAATGACTTCCTGTGTTTGGGAACAGATGATTATTTTTTCCTCATTTTGAAAGTTGTTGTGAACTCTTGCCTTTCCTATACATGTGTAAGTGCATGTTATGGGAAGTTGGGTAAGGGTCTTATGATGTTGTTCCCTGAATGCCACATTACCCTTGAAGACTGGAAGCTACTTTTATTGATCATATAACACACCACCTATAATTTGTTTAAATCTGGAATTTTCAAAACATAAGTTAGGACCCCAAAGGAATCTAATATTAAATTTATGCTTGCTCTGGGTAGTGTTTTTTGCCAATTTTTTTTTCTATCTTCTGCATTTTCTGATTAAGATTGGAATGTAAGCGTTATTTACTTGTATATTTATATATTTACTACTGGTCAGCTTGTCTCACATATAACTATGCATCTTATTCCATTTCACATTTATGTTAAACCAAGACTGTTCCTTGAGTAATACATGCTATACAGATTGAATCATGGGATTAATAACTCTGAATCTCCAGTCTAGAAGAGGAGAAATGACTGTAAATTAGAATATTTGGAATACTACAGGAAGGTGAAATATGTCCCAAGTTTGTTCTCAAAAAGTCATGGGCAGAGTTTTAAGAAATACTCAAGGTTAGCTGCATGTTGCAGAATATATGTTAATAAGTTTCCTTTATTTGTGGAAAAAAATGAAGATAAAGAAGATGATTTCTAAGCAGAAATGAGAAGAGAATTTCTCCTCTTAAGAAGACCCTCATGAGTGACAATGCCATAAAGTTTATAGTGGAGACTAGACTTTATTATTTTCCCAAACAGCTAGCCAGCTGACCTCCCAATAGTTATTAAGGAATACATATTTTTCCCATACATTATAAAATGCCCCTGCAAGAAAAGTCTTTCTTGTTGTTTTTTACCAAACCCATAAAAGATAACAGAAGATCCGATAAACCAGATAAGTAGAGTACTTAATCTGAATAATAAAAGGACATAAATTCTCTGAGACTAGAATTAAGATTATGAGATTGTAAAACAGTGATAAAAGTTCCTCTGAGAAACAAGACAACAGTGTTGTCTGCTGAGGGATGAGTGAGAACAGGAGAGTAGTGATGTTTTGGAAAGGCTCTTGAATAGACAGGCTATTTACCAGTCTGATAACATCCATATGAACTTAATGACCAATTGTAGCTTGCATGTTGATCAAAGCAACTGTACCAAATGGCGATTAAATTGTACTTTCATTGATGGATATGCACTGTGTGTTTGCTTGACTTTCTCGTAGGTATTTCTTGCAAGATAAATGTTCCTGTGGAACTAGCATCTTTTCCTGGACAGAAACAATATAGACATGTGGTAAATGATTCTATTATCAGAACCTCCAACATTATACTTGGATTGAAAAGCGTGGGTTTATTACCTCTTCTGATACTTATAAATCTTTCCGTCAGTGGCAGGTCATATAAACTCTTAATGTTCAATTGCATTACTTTTCACCTCTTTAATTAACTTATTCACTCACTTTCCCTGGCCAATTTTCTGCATCTAAACCATTTACGTCTATTTGATCCTAAGTGTTTCACTCCCTCTTCATGGAGAACCACCTCTGAATCCTGCTACGAATCTGTTGGGTCTTCACACTGTAGATGATGGGGTTCATCAGAGGTGGAAAGATGATATAAATGTTGCCCATGAGGACGTGGACCACAGGAGAGAGGTGATTCCCAAAGCGGTGTACCATGGTCAGCCCAATGATTGGGATGTAGAAAACCAGGACAGCACAGATGCGGGAGACACAGGTCTGCAAGGATTTCAGACACTCATCCCGGGATGCAATAGACAAGACAGCATGCAGGATCAGGATATAGGAAGTGAGAATTAACATAGAATCAAACAAATCACCAGAGCTAAGGCATAGAAACTGTTGAAGTGGATATCAGAACAGGCCAGCCTCAGTAGATGTTGATGCAGGCAGAAAGAGTGAGAGAGGACATGTGAATGGCAGTAATGAAAAAACTTTAGGCGGATTATGGGGGCAATGATGAACATAAAACTCCTTCCTAAAATTCCCAGCCCAATCTTCATGATCCTGGCAGTGGTCAGAATAGAGGTATACCTCAGAGGATTACAGATTGCTGTAAAACGATCAAAAGCCATGGCGAGAAGTACTCCTGACTCTGTGAGGGACAGACCATGAATAAAGTAAGTCTGTGCTATACAGGCGTCAAGGCTGACGCCCTGGCTGAGCCCCCATAGGATCCCCAGCACCGTGTGCACTGTAGACAGCCCCATGCACAGATCAGTGAGGGCCAGCATGGCCAGGAAGTAGAACATGGGCTCATGCAGGCTTGGCTCAGTCTGGATCACATGGAGCACCAGGCAGTTCCCTGAAAGCACCATAGCATAAATGAAGGAGAAGGGAATGGAGATCAAGGGATATTCCCCTTCCAGGCCAGGGAAGCCTGTGAGGAGAAAGGTTGAGGAATTGGAATTATGAGGAGAAAAAGCAGGCATGGATAATTTGTGGTGATTTTTCTATGAGTCAGAGATTATGTCTGTTTGGTAGATAACTTTCAAGCAGTTTGTTTTCTCATTCAGCACAGATTTGAGCAGAGATGGAGTATAATATAACTCAGATACTTCAGGATTAGAATGTCACAATTCCTGCTGCTCACATCCACCATCCAAGTGAATCATGATACTAAGAATCTTGTTCTATTCTCACCTAGTAAAGCATTGAGACTAACAAATGGAAAAAGTGATCTCAATAGATTTTATCTTTTCTCAAGCAATTAAAGATTATGATAGGACATGATTGCCAATGATGTTAATCTTCAGTGTTTTTGTGAAAAGTACTTACTCTTCATCTTCAGAAGATCTTTTCTTATATCTTGTGATTTAGTCTGAGTCTTCTACCCAGCAACACCTGCCAGAGTCTGAACTCAATTGTAATAACCTTAAAACGTATTTTCTTCTCTGCTCCCAAGAAAGTAGATTGTCTCTTTTCAATCCTTGTGTAAAGAGAGAGCTATGAGGCTCTGATGTCATAAGGAGGGCGGGTAAAGGATGTAAACTGACCACATGCCCCCTGGGAACATTTGGTTCATATGTTACAGAGAATGATGAAAATAACTATTATCTAACTTCCATCTGGAAATTATCCAGGGAGAGTTAAACACACACACACACTACATAATCCATTTGATGTGCCAAGCACTGTTCTAAGCATTTCAAAAACATATAAGTTAATCCTTGCACCAACACTAAGCAATGGGTGCTGTTATGAGCCATGATTTACAGATGAGTAGATTCAGTCCAAGAGAGTTTAAGTAACTTGGCAAAACTAGGTAGCTAGTAAATGGTGAGGATTTGAACCCAAACAGTCTCATCCCAGCACCCATGCTCTTAACTACTGTGCTCTGTCTGATGTTTTCATCTTTTATGGGATTCTCTCAGTTCACATTTAATACTCAAATACTGAGTTAAAGTAAACCTTACTTTTAATTTTACTCAATATTCCTTTGGAAGTGATATTTCCCTTCCCTGAGCCTCAAACACATTCTATCACTTGTATGATAGGCATAACAGTGGTGGATATTGGTATGGGGTTAAATAGTGCTATAGACTGCAGAATGTTATTAACAGGTTAAGTATTCATTTTTTACAGAGTATTATTACCAAATCTGTCCATGTCTTACTTCACTTACTAAATTGTTATCTTTCAGACCATGAAGTTGATAGGAATAATTGTTGTTCTGCTAGATTTTACTCTAAACTTACGTCACCTTCAAAAATTTGTGATTTGGAATGAAACAAAAATTATTTCCCTAATTAGAGTCTACTCAGTTAACAGAGTAAAGTGGCATAAGTTATTGACTATATTTTTAACTCAGCTTTAGTTACAATGTAGCTTGTGGAAATGACTTCCGTGGCAACATGGCACTACAGTCAGAAGCACCACGCCGTCCCTCAGCAGCAAAGATCAGAAAAACTAAGTAAAACAGAGTCACACATCAATCCTGAAACCCTAAGCTTCAAATGAAGAGATAAAGAACTCAGCCAAGCACTGAAGGGAATAAGAAACTGACCAAGAACAGACAGCGAGGAGAGATACATGCAGAGGTCCCCTATTAACTACCGCAGCATGGATCCACCATCTTGGACTCCTATCGGAGATCAGCGAACAGGGGGTATGAGAAAGCAGCTTCACGGAGCTTCCTGCAGGAGACAGAACAACCGATAACCAGTAATATAGGCTTTCCCATCCCCCCACCCTTCTTCACTGCCACTTAGCCTCCTATGCTTCCTGCAGCCACAGTCTCTTGGCTGGGAAGTACCAGCTTCACCCGGGCGTCACTTGGATTCCACCTGCCAACATTGTCCAGCTCCCTGAGTACCTTTTGTTGGCTGCTGGTGTTGCTTTTTTCCACTTCTTTAGATTTCTTTTTTACCTCTCATCACCTCCCCCTCCTTTCTCTCAAATACCTGGCTCCATGTGCAATCTTTGCTTCTTCCTGAAAGGCTGCGAAACACTGCTTGACTGTGAAACTGCTTTCCAGCCTGTGCTGCCATGCTGGTGGGACACGTGGGGATTTTTGTTTGTTTGTTTTCTCTGATTTGTTCTTTTTTGATTTGTTTGTTTGTTTTCTTTTTCTTTTCTCAGCTTGGAAGCCCTTCTAGCCAGGCAGTACCATGTGGTTTGGAAGCTACTCCCTTACTCTGTGCAGATGCAGAGGGACGTCCCTGTGGGCATTTCTTTTTTCTTTTTCGGTTTTTGGGTTTTTTTTTATTTGTTTTCTTTTCATCTCTGTCTTATTCTCTTTTTGTCTTTCTTCATTTCCAGTTTTTCAATTTATTCATTTTTTTCTTTTACTCTTTTTCTTTTTTTTTAATTTTTGTTTTTCCCCATTTCTCAGTCTCGCATCTCTCTACTCAAATAGCAAGCTCCCTTAGCACTTTTTTTTGTTTGTGTGTATGTTTTTGACCCCTGTTCCTCTCTCCTCTCTCTCATTCTTCCCATACCCATCTTAGCTCCACACATCACAATCTACCCTCTCCTTCCTGGCTGCCTGCACCATGCACTAAACATCACACTTCCAAGCAGCACAGGCATGGCATACTGGAACCTGCCCTGCACTGATTCCCGATCCGCACTGTCAGCTCTGGTAAGTGCCACAAACAACCCACCCCAGCAACTTCCCTTCAGCTGGAACTGCCCTGTTGTACCATGCCTGAGTGACTGACCCTCCCCACTGAAAAAGTTAGTGAAAAGTATCATACCCGCAGATGAGCAAACAAAGAATACACAGCCCACCTACTCAGATATAACCAAATAAAACAAAAAAGGACAAAACAAACAAATCTACAAGCAACAAACAAGGAAAATAACAACTGAATGCCCCAAAGACAGCAGGCAATATCAAAGCATTTACAAAAACAGGACAGGATGGTTCCAGTAGGCATCCAAAATAAAACACCAAATGACCTTCCAGTAGAAGAAAAGGCACTAGACCTAACTGATAGGGAATTCAAAGCTCTAATATTCACTTTATCCAATAGTTGAAGCAAAAAGCAGACAAAAATGAGGAAAAAATAGATAAATTCATACAAAATACAGACCAAAAAATGGAAGATTTCAAGAAAACAATACAGGAACAAACTGCTAAAATAAATTCACAAGTAGAAATCATACAAAAACTACAATTAGAAATACAAAAGATAAACAAGATTTCAGAAATGGACAGTGTCTTAGAAGGGCTTAGGAGCAGGTTTGAAATGACAGAAGATAGGATCAGTGAAATTGAAGACAAACACTTGGATACAACTCTGTTTGGGGAAAAATCAGAAAAAAGAATGAAGAAACCCTGTGAATTACGTGGGATACAATCAAAAGCAAAAATCTGAGTGATCAGAATTGCAGAAAAGGGGGAGAAAACAGAAAACACAGAAAGGATCTTTGAAGAATTGCTGACAGAAAACTTCCCCAATATTATGAAAGATGAAAAGCTGACCATCTGAGAAGCTCAACAAACCCCATATAGGATAGATTGCAAAAGAAAAACACCAAGGCATATCATAATCACGCTCGTTAAGACCAAAGATAAAAAAAGAATCCTGAGAGCAGCTTGAGAAAACAAAAAGTCACATACAGAGCAGAAACCATGCAAGCAAGAAGGCAATGGGATAACATACATAAAACCTTGAGAGAGAAAAATTGACAGCCAAGAATAATATATCCTGCAAAACTCTCATTCAAATATGATAGTGAAATTAGGTCATTTCCAGATAAACAGATATTAAGAGACTATGTGAAAACCAAACCAAACTTACAAGACTTATTAAAGGGAGTCCTTCCGTCTGAGAACAAACAGCATCAGAGAGTGGGCTGAATATAGGACACAGGATTGTACTAGCCAGATACCTACCTAAGAAATGAAATCTTAAGGACTACACGAAACCAAAATATTTACAACAGGGAATCAGAGAGGCTAATCTGTAAATGACAACAGCATCAGAATAATGAAAGAGGGAATAAACGGTGTAGGTATATAACCTCGTAATGGAGAGGATGGCAAGGCAATACCAAGTAATAATAGACTTGTTCAAATCTAGGAAGATAAAAGTAAATTTCAAGGTAACCACAAAGAAAGTTAATAAACCTGCTCACCAAAATAAAGAAGAAAAACATAAAGTCTCAGTAAAAACAAAATCTACAAAAACAAAAGCAATGAAAAAAAAATCCACAAACAAAAAGAACTCAGCGCAGGAGAGTAAGACCAACAAAGAAAACATGAGCATCACAAAAAAAAGCACTACAAAATGCAATCCCACTCTTAGGAATACATCCTAGAGAAATAAGAGCCATCATACGAATAGACATATGCACACTCATATTCATTGCAGCACTGTTCACAATATCAAAAAGATGGAAACAACCTAGATGCCCATCAACACACAAATGGATAAACAAACTATGGTACATACACACAATGGAGTATTATGCAAAGATAAAGAACAATGATGAATCTGTGAAGCATCTCATAATATGGATGAAACTGGAAGACATTATGCTGAGTGAAATAAGTCAGTCACAAAAGGACAAATATTGTATGAGACCTCTACTGTAGAAACTCATGTAAAATTTTACACACAAAAAGAAACAATCTTTGTTGGTTACGAGGGATGGGTGGGGGAAATAAATAGACAATAGGTAAGTGGTAACTTTGGTGAAAGGTAAGACAGTACACAATACTGGGGAAGCCAGCACAACTTGCACAAGGAAAGGTCATGGAA